TCATTCAAATGGATTTTTTTATTTGAAAAAACACAACAACAAAAAAAGACAGTTGACAGGGATAAAATATTAGACAGTTTTAACAAAGAGTTAATATCTAATACACATAAAGAACTCCTTTAAGTCAGTTCAGTAGAAAAATGGACATAAGACATAAAAGGACAACTCACAGAGGACAAAATACAAATAAACGATAACAAAGAAAAGACATTTGTCCTTATAATTTTGAACAAATCAAGGCAAAACAAAGTTCAATAATGGAATTGTCAGCTTGGCAACAACTTTTTTTGAGAGTCTGTTTATTAAAACTGGGGAGAGTGAAACAAGGAAGGTCCTAGGATAGAAGGAGCAACAGGAGAGAGCCTGGGTGGGGCTGCTTTGGCTCCCTGGAAACGTTGGAGGAAAAAGTGGGCCAAGGCAGGGCTGCAGTCAGCTCACTGGAGGGTCAAAGGAAAAGAGGCCTTGGAGGCAGGGTCAGGGGTTAGCCCAGGATGAGCTGCCGCTGCCCACTGCTCCCTTAGTTGCAAGTCTTGTGGGGACCCTTAGAGTTTAGAAGAAAGAAAATTCACTTGAAAAGGAGATTTGAGTGGGCGTGCTCCAAGGAGGGTGTGTCTGATTGACAACAGTTTTTTAAACATTGGTAAGAATTCAGGGAAACTACCACTGTCATAATGCGGGTATGTGTAACTGGGAATATTTTTAGAAGATGATTTAGCAGTGTATAAATGTTTTAAATATATATAATCTTGCCTCGGAAATTCTACTTCTAGGAATCTATACTGATAATGCTGATATCAGTATGGAATGCTTACTGTATGCAGGCATTCTAACCATATCTCAACTGTTCTAATTGACTAAATATTCTTAGTTCCTCATTTTACAGATGAGATAAGTGAGGCAGGAGGTTAAATGAGTTGCCTAAGATTATACAGCTAGTAAGTCACAGATCCAGGATTCATGCCTATAGTTTGTCTCTAGAATTTATGCTCCCGACCACTCCTGCCATACAGCTCTCCACACTTTTCTAAATGTTATATATGGGCACTAATGTATATATAGAAAGATGTTTGCTGTAGTTGAGTTTGAAATACTAAGAAAGAATAAAACTAGGCCCTGAGTGGGTAGCTCAGCTGGTTGGAGTGTTGTTCCAATATGCCAGGGTTGCAGGTTTGATCTCTGGTCAGGGCACATACAAAAAGCAACCAATCAGCCCTGACTGGTATAGCTGAGTGGATGGAGTGTGGGCCTGTGAACCAAGGGGTGGCAGTTGGATTCCCAGTCAGACATGGTTGCAGGCTATGTCCCCAGTAAGGGGTGAGCAAGAGGCAACCTCACATTGATGTTTCTCTCCCTCTTTCTCCTTCCCTTCCCCTCTCTCTAAAAATAAATAAACTCTTAAAAGGAAAAATAAATAAAGATTTTTTTAAAAGCAACCAATGAACACATAAATAAGTGGACCAAACAACAACAACAACTACTACAACACTGACTGGTGTGGCTCAGTAGATTGAATGCTAGTCTGTGGACCAAAGGGTCACAGGTTCAATTCCCAGTCAAGGCACATGCCTGGGTTGTGGGTCAAGTCAGGTCCCCAGTAGGGGGCACATGAGAGGTAACCACACTTTTATTTTTTGAAATCTATAGAACAATGCCTATTATACCTATTCATATAAAAAATACCAATGTAGCAAGTACGCTCAGAAGAGAATTTTTTTTCTCTTTTGTTCATGATCGTGTCTTCATTGCCACACCAGAACAGTGCCTGGCACTTAGTAAGTATTGAGTAAACATCTATTAAATGTATATACAAGGTCTGTCCAGAAAAAGTCCAGTCATTGTTGATATAATGAATATGATTTGTGCAACACTGATGTAACCTGACAACTAAGGAGAGTGGACTGGAATGTGCATGTGTAAACAATGATTGTAACAGGGTGCAGCCAAGAGGGAGGCCCCGAATAGGAATTTGGAATGGGGTCCAGAACTCAAGGTGTCCAGGAAATATTATAAAAATATATAGAATGTCCTCACCCCCCACCCCCAGGTTTGAGCTGGGGAAAGGGACATGTGGAACAGGACCATGCAGAGCCATTTTGTACAACCACAGCTTTCCAGCTAACCTCTGGCATGGTCATTTAACATACTTATAACCTTTAACTGGTTGCATAGATATGTTAAATAGCTGTGGTCATGCTTTGAGCCAGGGAGATGGGAGTGACTTCTACCCGAGATGTAACTGGGAGGCAATTTGCCCTGGTTACAGCGCCTGGGTGAGAGCTCGGAGAAGATTGGCTCCATGCCATGGGGCCACCCCTGCCCAGACTTACTATGGCAGCCCAGTAAAGCTGGAAGGATGCAGGAATGCTGGCAGGTGGAACTCATTGTATGAGGAGTTGGAAATGGGGCTGAAGAGGAAGGTTGGCTGGGGGATTTAAACCCAGACTTGGCAGCCAAGGGAGAGGAAAATCATGGGGCTTGGGCAGAGTGGGAACCCTGCAGCTTTGGCGAGAGTGAGGACCTCGTGGCTTTGGGGTGCTCCCTTTTGCCAGGTGGCTTAGGAAGCAAGAGAGACTTTGCTTGGAAGAAGAGGGGTGAAAGGACTCTTGCTGGTGGGCCATGAGAAGGTGCCACATGGCTTTGGATTAACTGGAGATCGTGGTGGCGACACAGTGATGTTGCTCAGAGCCCAAATCACAGACTTCTACTTCTTTTCCTGAGATACGGTACCCCAGATTAGGGCAGAGGGAGAATGAAGGATTGTGTGTGTCTGTGGGTATCCTAAAGGACTTTAATATTTTAATGAAGATATTAAGTTACTACTCTAAGTCTGTATTGCTTTAAATAAATAATTCCTTTCCTTTTCACAAATCTCTGGCACTAAGACATGTTTCTCCTCTGGTGGTGGGCAAAGGAAACCTAGTGGGGGGTCCTTTCGGTAATAGTATATCGTACAAACCCCCCTTGGATCTGTTCTGTAACATGATGACTTTGACTTCACTGCACTAGTCAGTGGGGATGGTAGACGCCGTTGAGTGAGCACATGTACTGTGTGCCTTCACATTCAAAATGACTGAGCAAGTAGAGCAATGAATCTAAATCCAATTTTGCATTAAGCTTGAACATTCCTCCATGGAAACTACTCAGATGATTCTGAAGACCACAGTTATGGGCAACTCGTGGTTGGCAGCTTCTTCACAAAAACGCACCTGCTCGTGTGTGCAGAGTGTTTTGGCAAAACATCAAATCACCCAGGTGACTCAGCCCTGCTACAGTCCAGATTTGGTGCCCTGTGACTTCTGGCTTGTCCCAAAACTAAAATCACCTTTGAAAAGGAAGAGATTTCAGATGAGATTCAGGAAAATCTGATAGGGCAGCTGATGGCAATTGGGAGAACTGTGTGAGCTCCCAAGGTGCCTACTTTGATGGGGACTGAGGCGTCAATGTCCTGTGTACAGTGTTTCTTGTATCTTGTACCTTTTTTCAATAAATGTCTCTATTTTTCATACTACATGGCTGGATACCCTATGGACAAGACCTCATAAATATACGGAAATGCACAGAAAGGGGACTGAAAAGCTGCTAACCAAGCTGTTAAGTGGTGAAGATAGTTTCCTACCTTGGGAGAAGAGAACATGGTGTGAACTGGATAGGTCAGTGAAGGGAAATGTGTACATAGCAAACTTCTTGCTGTTTCAGTCTTAGAACACTGTCAGGTAAGTAATATCCTCCTTTTATAGATGAGGCACCCAAGGGTCAGATGTGAAGTAATTTGCCTCCAATGGCACAGTTACCAAACCTAGATGTGAACTTTAACCTGTGGCTCCAAGACCAGGTTCACTTCATTGTGTTTATAAATGTAAAGGCAAGTAAGTGAAACAGAGAACCGAAGGCTGTGAGGTCAAAACAAACACAGCAGAAGTTGCAACGGGGCTGTGTAAAGAAACACGGCCAATTCTAGGGAGAACAGATTTTTGGAAAGGATTCCAGAGATGAAACTTGGTCTCTAAGACATGAAAGATAAATTTTCTTTTACCCTTTTGCTACCTTTATTGTTATTAAAATATTTAAGTTGAGGTATAATTGACATACGTTACATTAATTTTGGGTATACAACATAATAATTTGATATTTAGGTCTAGTTAACCTCTATCACCATACATAGTTACAGAATTTTTTCTTGTAATAAGAACTTAAAAAATTTACTCTATTAGCAACTTTCAAATATACAATTCAGTCTTATTAACCATGCTGTACATAATATCCCCAGGATTTATTTATTGAGAACTGGAGGTTGGTACCTTTTGGCTCCCTTCAGCCATTTTCCTCACCCCCCAATACCCTCTATGCCCACCGCTGGTGACCATCAATCTGTTCTCTGCATCAAAGAGTTTGTGTGTTTTTTTAATTTTTTTGTTTGTTTGTTTTAAAGAGACAGATTCTAGGCTGGCTCAGTTCCCTTGCTATTTTTGTTTGGTTGTTTGGTTGTTTTAAGATTTTTATTTTCATTTATTTTTAGAGAGAGGGGAAGGGAGGGAGAAAGAGAGGGAGAGAAACATCAGTGTGTGGTTGCCTCTCACACGCCCCCACTGGGGACCTGGCCCGCAACCCAGACATGCGCCCTGACTGGGAATCAAACTGGTAACCCCTTGGTTCGCAGCCTGCGCTCAATCCACTGAGCTACACCAGCCAGAGCTGTTTTTGTTTTTTAAAAATATTTTACTTATTTCTAGAGAGGGGAAAGAGAAAGAGAGGGAGAGAAACATCCATGTGTAAAACATCAAACAGCTGCCTCTTGCACACCCCCCACAGGGGACCTGGTCCGTAACCCAGGCGTGTGCCCAGGCATGGGAATTGAACCAGCGACCTTTCAGTTGAAAGGCCAGCACTTAACCCACTGAGCCATGCCAGCTAGGGCTTTTTTTTTCTTTTCTTTTTATGAGCCTGTGTTTTTGTTTGTTTGTTTGTTTTTGTTAGTTCATGTCTTTTATTAGCCCACATACAATGACCTGTATGTCGCTTTGCTGAAGCAGTAGGTCAGACATCTGCCACAGCGCCTGTCACAGAGGTTGGCCATGAAAACTCCAGCACCGCATTCACCTGAGGGGCCTCCGGATGATGGCAATTGATTTTTTTCTTTTTAATCTTTAACTTAACTTTAATGAAAACAGAGCATTTTCAAAGACTTCTGATTTTGCCTTTTTAGTCCACCTTTCACCTTTCAGAACAGTCAGGTTAACCTTCTTTCTCTGATGCTTATTCCTCCTGGAAGTGGTGTAAGATTTCTTCCTTTTCTTAGCACCACCATGGAGTCGCAGTGCAAGATGATGAGTGGACACCTTTTGAATGTCATAGTCAGACAAAGAATGTCCATCTTCCAGGTGCTTACTAGCAAAGATCAGTCTTTGCCGATCAGGAGGAATTCTTTCCTTATCCTGGATCTGGGCCTTACATTTTCTGTTGTACCCAAGGGTTCACCCTTGAGAGTGATGGTCTTCCTCATAAGGGTTTTCATGAAAATCTGCATGTTCACAGCAGGTACACCACAGATGGCAGACCAGAAAGCTGCTTTTTTATTCCACATATAAGTGAGATCCTATGGTATTTGTCTTTCTCTGTCTGACTTATTTCACTTAGTATAATGTCCTGAAATTCCATCCATGTTATTGCAAGATTTCATTATTTTTATGACTGAATAATATTCCATGATGTATATGTACTTTATCCATTTTTATATTTTTATCCATTCATCAGCTGATGGACACTTAGATTGTTTCCATATCTTAGTTATTGTAAATAACACTGTAGTAAACAGGAGGGCGAGTATATTTTTTGAGTCAGCAGTTTTGTCTTCTTCAGATAAATACCCTGAAGCGTCATTGCTACATCATATGGTAGTTCTATTTTTTACTTTTTGAGGAACCTCCACACTGTTTTCCACAGTGGCTGCACCAATTCACATTCCCACCAGCAGTGCACAGAGGCCCCACCCTGGGGGAAGGGCACTCTGGGCACACACCTGTGTATCAGTGAATGTCACAGGTGAAATCATGTGGCCTAACTAGTGAATAATAAGTAGCTGAGTGAGTATGGCTGGAGCTTTACTTACATATGTAGGTGAAAGGTAGGTCCTGCAAAGATTTGATTTGATTTGTAACAGACACTGAGATCTGTGTTCAGACAGGTAGGACTGCTTGAGGCCGGAGTGCACAGCCTCTTTTGAAGAAGATCGGGCTATAGACAAGGAATCCATTCTACATAGTAAGGTTACCAAGTAAGCAACGATGGCTCTACCCCATTCAGGCAGTGATGAGGGATACTGAGAGAGAGGAGGGGATGAATCTGAAAGACACTTTTGGAATAAGATCAATGGGACTTATGTGAGAGGGGAAGAGAGGAGCCTAGAGAGGGAGAAGTTTGTTGGAAACTGGGCACAAAGTTCCTTCAAAAGGCATCACTTGTGTATGTATCTCCTTCACTGCTTGTAAGACAGGATATTGTAACTTATTATAATCAGCTGTGTATGAATCTGTCTCCTTTTCTAGCCATGACTCCTTCATCTCACCTCCCCCAGCATGTCTAGTGCCAGGCCTTGCACAGATCACATTAACACTGAACGAAGGAACACAGCAGAGAGACTGGCTTTGGTTTAGGGTGGGTTGGGGAGCAGGGAATAGTGGGAGGTAAATCATCACAAAGGTTGGGAGGCAGGAAGTTCTTAGCCTATGTACTCCCTTCCTCCTCGGCCTTGGTCAGAGCCTGCCCTGGGGGACATTGCTCAGTTTTCCTTCAGTCCTTGACTTCTCTGTGTTTGCCACACAGTGTGATAGGGTTGACTGGCTGAGACACAGGTAGCTTCAGTATGAAGCCACCCCCAAATTCTGCTACCACCACCAAGAAAGTGATTCTAAAAAGGCACTGTAAGAGGATTTCCTCAGGGGTCTACTTCCCTCCTCTAAACCACCACAAACCTCTTTTTTTTAATTAGCAAAAATTAATTTTTTTAATCCTCACCTGCAGACATGCTTATTGATTTTAGAGAAATGGGAAGGGAGGGATACAGAGAAAGAGAGAAACACTGATGTGAAAGAAACATCAGTCGGTTGCCTCTTGCATGCACCTGACTGGGGACCAAACCTACAACTTAGTTATGAGCCCTGACTGGGAACTGAACCTTTGGGTATACGGGGTGATGCTCCAAACAACTTAGCCACACTGGTCAGGGTGCAAAAATTAATTTCATTATAGCACTTATAATACTCTTTTTGGCATTACATTTTTGTGTAAACATTGTGTATACTGTTTACAAACTAATAAACAATTTGAAATCATGAGTGGGAAATATGTATTGTTCTAGATGGTGAATGATTATTTAGTGACATCTGTCCAACCTGCCCCTTCTGAGCAAAATGGACTTAGTAGGTACAAGTCTTAATGTATGTTTGAGTACAGGAACATTACAGAGGTTTGGTGCAAAATAAAGTGTGTGGCAATACTTGTTTTTATTTATAGAAGTTTTTAAGTGCTGAATTTCTATTTTTTATTATTTATTGTTAATTTTTTTGGAAAGCTGATGAAGATAAGACAAACAAAAATAAGAAAAGAAGCAATCTGTAAGATATTGGGGCTGAATCATGTTACTTTTCCCAACATTCTTACATTGCTAAAGTTAGAAAATCTAAAATCTGGATACCTAATTAGATCACAATAAATCAGGCCCCTGAATATTCATGGAACATCACTTTATGTTTTATAATCATTTTAATAGACTATTGAGTTCAATTTACCAATCTGTATTTGGAATGTTTACATGTATCTTAATTGATACTCATCCAGATTTTGCTTTTTAGGGGCTATTCTTATCTATTAGTAAGATATTGCATTGTAGAATGTTCTGGTAAAATTTTGTCAGAGGTTTCTATTCTTTTTTTTTTTATTAAGATTTTACTTATTTATTTTTTAGAGAGAGGGAAAGTGAGGGAGAGAAACATTGATCAGTTTCTTCTCATGTGCCCCCTACCAGGGATCTGGCCTGCAACCCAGGCATGTGTCCTGACCGGAATCGAACCAGTAACCTTTCAGTTTGCAGGTCAGCACTCAATCCGCTGAGCCACACCAGCCAGGAGGTTATCTATTCTTTAAAACTTTTTCTTGCCTATGAAACTATTGATTCTGGCTTTCTAAAAAACAAGATCATAGCTACATTTAAATTTTTCTTTCTTTGTAGATCTGTTGAAGTTTTTTTTAATAGTATCTTCAGTCAACTTTGATCATTTGGGCTTAAAACAACAATCTTTTTTTACTTGGTATTTTAAAAATTTATTTATCTTTAGAGGGGAAGGAGAGAAGGAGAGAAATATCAATGTATGGTTGCCTCCCGTGCATCCCGGGCTGGGACCTGGCCAGCAACCCAGGCATGTGCCCTGACTGGGAACTAAACCGTGATCCTTTGGTTTGCAGGCCCGCACTCAATCCACTGAGCTACACCAGCCAGGGCCAAATCTGAAGAATTTTTTTTTAATGTTTTATAAATTTTTCTTATATTGGGGTGATATTTGTTAATAAAATTATATAGGTTTTAGGTGTACAATTCTATAATACATCATCTGTACATTGTATTGTGTGTTCACCACCCCAAGTCTGGTCTCCATCACTATTTATTCCCCCTTTACCCTCTTCTACCTCCCTCCACCCCGCTTTCCTCTTCAGTAATCACCATACTGTTGTCTGTGTCTAGTTTTTTTTTCCTTTGCTTAATCAGGACTTTTTCACCCAGTTCCCTAACCCCCCCCCCCCCGTCTCCCCCAACAGCTGTCAGTCTGTTCTCTATCTATGAATCTGTTTCTGTTTAGTTTGTTGGTTTATTTTGCTCATTACCTTCCACACATAAGTGAAATAATATAGCACTTGTCTTTCTCTGACTGGCTTATTTTACTCAGTATAATACTCTCCAGGTCCATCCACACTGTTGTAAAAGGTAAGATTTCCTTCTTTTAAGGGCTGAGTAGTATTCCACTGTATAAATGTACCGGTATTGCTCTCTTGAGGGTGGTTTGCTTGAGGAATCTGAAAAGAAGCATTAAAAAAAAAAAAGTGTTAACCTAGATGCATAAAAACGATGTACAGGGCTTTCTTAAGGCAAAGATAAGCCTTTTACTGAAAATGTTACATGCTTGGGGTGTGACTACCCACTGTGACCTGCCCAGTGAGGACTTTATGATCAGATCACCTGTGAGATTATCTCAGTGGAACCCCTTACTCATTCATACCATGTAAGGTGTCAAATGGGTACCAGGCTTATCGGGATGATCACTTCATAAGGTATACAGATGTCTCATCATTATGCTGTATACCTGAAAGTAATGTAATTGTAGGTCAACTGTAATTGAAAATAATTTTAAAAAATTCTTATTTAATCCCATAGTATTATCATTCCAAACGAAGTCATTCCTTGATATCATCTAATACCCAGTCTACATTCAATTTTCCCAACTGTCTCCAAAATGTCTTTTTACAGTTGGTTTGTTCAAAATAGGATCAAATAGCATATGTCTATTTTGCCTCTAAATCTTTTTTAAGCCCTTTCCTCTTTTTCTGTCACTGACTTGTTGAAGAACCAGTTAGTTGCCCTGTAGAATGTCATACCTTTTGAATTTTTCTTATTCTTTGTATTTTCTCTTACCTTGTTCTTCCAGCCTCCACATTTTCTGCAAACTAGAGATTAGATCTAAAGGCCCCCTTAGATTCAGGCTCAGTATTTTGGAAAATAATATTTGTTAGGTATTCTTCATCTTGTATTACATCAGGGCCATGTAGTGCACATGTCTGGTGGTCTGCTTCAGTGTTTTTGAAGTTGTTGGGGGAAGCTAGGCCTGGGGAGACTTAGGCAGTCACTTGCCTATGGAACTGAGCCCCAGCCTTCGTGGCTGCTGGCCTGTACAGGAACAGAGTGGAATGAGGTCAGAGAGCAGGTGCTCAGAGAAGCATCAGCTTGATGTTGGCAGTTTAGGCCAGCTTAGTTCTTGGGCAGGATTGAGCAGAGGTTCTTGGGACAGATACCACACAGGCCCTGGTGGCTCCCTTCAACTCTGGTGTGTGCGCCTCATAGAAATGAGGAGACTAAGCAGGCAAAATTCCTCAGAGGTTGGGGTGGAACGATTCCTGGACCTGTTCACGCTGTCCTGCACTTTCCTCTTGTGGAGAGAAGGAAGGCTTCCTCTTCAGCTCTGGTGGTGAGCTTCCTCTTCACCATTTGGTGGTGAGCTTCCAGCTCCTTCCTTAAAATAGCCTTTGATTGCTGTTAAACCTTAGAATGTCAGTGCTGGAAGAAACCTTGTGGATCGTGGGCACCAGCCCCCATTCTCCCTCATCCTTCCTGAGAAATAGCTGCACTTAGGATGGTGAAACCGGGATGGCACAGTGTATGGCCCCAGACTTCATTCATTGACACTCCGCCTTCACCATTTTTACTGTTACCATCAGGTTTCCCTTGTTCCATAGTAGTATTATTTTTTTGTCCTAACAATA